CTCATTTTTCATTGTAACACAACATGCTTATTGTTTTCTACTTTATGGAACACGATAGGAATGAATTATAAAGTATCACTGCTCTTACTGCCATCAAGTTATTTCCAACTTATGGTGACCCTATGAATGAAAGCTCTCCAAAATGACCTGACCTTGACAGCTCTTCATGTTGGAAACTTCATCGTTTGCTTCCATTGAAACTTCTGGCTTGATTGGATTTAGGACCCCCATGTTTCAAATGCACCAGTTATTTCCTGTCAGCTTTATTCACTGTCTACCCTTCACACATCCACTTTATATGGATACAGTGATCAGGAATACAATAGTGTGGATGATCTTGGCCTTGATCTCCAATGAAACATCCTTACACCTGATGATCTTTCCCAGTTCCCTCATTGCTGCCCTTCCAAGTCTCAGACTTTTTCAAATTTTCTGGCTGCAGTTTTCATCTGAATTGATGACTGAGCCAAGATATGGAAATGCTTTCATGATTTTAGCTTCTTTACTGCTGACAGTAAAGTTTTGTAATTAGTCTATAGTCAATTTTTTTTGTTTTCTTGATGTTCAAATGCAGTCCTGCTTTTGCACTTCCTCTTTTCTCTTTATTCAGTAGTTGTTTCAATTCATTGCTGCTTTCTGCCAGTAATATCATCTGCATATATTAAATTATTGATGCATCTTCTGCCAGTTTTCATTCCTTCTTCCTCTGATCCAAATCCAGCTTTTTAATGTGATGTTCTGTGTACAGATTGAACAGATAGGGAGATAAAATTCACTCATGTCTCCCACTTTTGCCTATAGGGAAAAAAAACCTGTTTTTCAATATTCTGTCCTAACAGCAGTTTCTTGTTTATGATACACCTTGCATAAGGACAATCAAGTGCTGAGGCATATCCATTTCTTTCAGGACCGTAAATAGCTTCTCAGACAAAGTCTTTGTGATAATCTACAAAGCACAGATGGATCTTCTGAAATTGTTTGGTCTGCTCCAGTAGTCAACATATATTTGCAATATGATCTAGCGTGCCTCTTCCTTATGCTTCTTCCATAGCTTCTGTATAAGCCGAAGTGCCTGATCTCACCTAATCTTGGATGTCAAGCAGGTTCAGGCCTGTTTAGAATCTGGATGGGAGACCCGAGTCTCGCATTGAGCAGGGGGTTAGACCCAATAGCCTTTTCAGCTCCTTCCAACTCTAAGATTCTTCTATTGTTTTCAGGACCCAGCTTGAACATCAGACATTTCCCATACAGGGTAAAATTCTTTGTTGCAACACCTGGAGTATCACTTTGCTAGCATGGGAAGATACGGCAATTGTCCTTAGTTGCTGCAACTTTTTGTGTTCCAGAACATTTGATTTGTTGTCCATATTTGTCAGGATAATCTTGTTAGTTTTTGGACCAATTCCGTCTTTGTGGTTTGACATAGTTCTATCAGTACACTCTCTACTGTGGGTGTTCCTTCCAAGTGATTCAGAATAGCTTTCACTTCACTTCCAATATTGCAGAAATGTCCTCATAAGATTCCTCTTCAAAGGAGCCTCTAATCATTTTCTCTTTTGTATAGTTCTTTTCTATATTGTTTCCTCATGCACTATATTCTGTCCTGGTCACATAGTATGTTCCCCTGTTGGTCTTTCAGCATTCCTAATCTAGGTTGAATTTCCCTTTGATTTCTTGGATCTTCTGAAAAAGGTTTCTTGTTTTTCTCCTTTTGTAGTTATCTTCTATTTCTTTGCATTGAACATTGTAATGATTCTATTTGCCTCTGCATAATAGTCACTGAAAAGTTGAATTCAGAATTCTGATTCTATTTCGGTCACCTTTAGCTTTTGTTTCTCCTATGTCCTTAGCAATTATGAGTATTTCTTCTTTAGCCCTTCTAGAATTTGTCATTCTTTTTTTACTACAGGATCCATGTTTTTACATTCTTTCCTAATAATGTCTCTGGCTTAATGTGGTTTCAATTTACATTTTTTCTGGTTCACAGTCAATTGGGTTCAGTAATGCAAATTTGTTCCTTATAAGAGTTTTAAATCCCCCAGAAATGCATATTGGTGCTGTTTCTGTTACAGATCTTTTTCAGTTTTACTTTGATTTCTCATATTGATAGTTCAAGGTCATTACCATTAACTATTCATTCCAAGTTATATTTAGGCAAAGCAAATACATATTCTCTGTCTTCTGCTTTCAATTACACAATTTATTTGATTTCTGTACTGGTGATGTCCACCTGTACAACTGTCTGATCAGTTGCCTGAAGTATTTATTTCCAATAAACAGATGGTTGGCTTCACCAAATCCTATGAGTTGGTCTTCTGCTTTGCCATGGAATGTGTCACCAAATTCCTCCACAACATTGTTTTGTTTCCTACTACAAAACAATGTGTTCCACTCACCTATTATTCTTAGCATGACTTGTTTCAGTATATTATAAATTTCCTCTAAACAAAATGTTCTTTTAAAAAATCAGCAACAGCTCTTCCAAATGGTTAGATCGTGTGATTACTGCCACATATAGTGAACCTGAAGTTACAAGCCTCCCAAGGAGTGAGAGATCTCATATCTTTAGAGAACCCATAAGAGGCATGGAAGGAACTTTCTTGAAGAATGTGGCTACACTTGGGCACCCTGTAAGCAACAACAGTATCCTGTCAGCTGATCCTTCCACTCCAGAAACACCAACACAGATGCTAAGATGAAGTGTCATTTTGCAGAAACACCAAGCAACTATGTGACTTGGACAACAGCTCACAAGGATCACAAAGAATGAAACATCCCTTGTCCAGATCAAAGATAATAACAGTGTCTGTTTATACAGATGCCCTGTGAACTTCCAAAGAAAGCTACTGGGCTATCTCTGCCAGCTCATGACTGCAGTATAGTTTGTATTCAAGAAACTCACACAGATAACCACCCAAGACGTGAGACTTGCAGTGAAGTGATCCCATAAACACTATGTAAATACTATGTACGTCAAGCCTAACCTTCAAATATCATTCCCTGCCATCACAGAACAGAATGATATAGAGATAATAACATGAGATGAGGAACTGCAGACTAACTTGTATCCATAAACCACTCAGTACAATACAAAATGCAGAATGGTGCAAAATGTGCAGCCACATTCATAACTGGGACCCAGAGGTCCAATCATATAAGATTGGTTCTGGCCTGCTGGCATTGGCTACCTGTATGCTTCCAGGCCCAATTCAAGATCCTGATCTTAACCTATAAAGCTCTACATGTCTTGGGGCCACAGTACTTGTTGAAGGGCTGCTCCCAGCCCCAATCTATTTGGATAGTAGGCTCAACCTCTGAGGCCTTCATCCAAGGGCCAACCCCTCAAGAGGCTCAGAGGGGGGCAACTGAGGGAGGGCCTTTTCTGTGGTACCCCCTTCCCCCATCTCCCTGTATCCCTTCAATTTTTATTCCTATTATTTGGGTTATTTTTGCCATTTGGATGAACAGCCTTTACAGTAAAGTTAGAAAGGCCTTCTCCAATCTGGAATCTTCTGGATTTGTTGGACCACACCTCCTATCTCCCCCAGATTGGGAAAGGCTGGGTTAGAAGAACCAGCCTCGTTCACATAGTTTTCAGGAGCTTCAGGTCTAGAAGAAGTTGGACAAGAGGGAATAAGGCCAAGACTTGCAACATTTTATGAGCAGGAAACCACATACCCTAGGAATAGATTAAGGGTGCATAGAAAGTACATTCCAGATGTTTTGGACTTCAGCTCCCAGTATTTCTGACCATTGTCCTTGCCAATCATGGTGAAAATGCAGACTTGCTGAGGGAACCCACTTGTGCAAGGATAATAAAAAGGTGTGGAAAGCTACAGGGAGCAAAAGAAACCCTTTAAAATACAAAAAAGGAGAATTATTACTTAAACTAGCTAATCTCCCTGCTGTGGCCTACCCAGTACCAAATTTGCCATCTTTTCAGTGCAAGGTCAAAACAGCCCTCTTTGCAGAAGCCTTCAAAGATCTCCCTGGTTATTCAAGGGCCTCACATGATTATGCGGGTGCCTTTCTTTTACTCTTGGCTGGATCTTTTTATAGTATTGCTATTGTATTCTATTGTATTTTGTACTATTTTAAATGAAGAACCGGAAATGTTTCAACTAGCCCTTATCCATGATTGTAAACTTCCTCCATCTTCCAATGGTAGGAGATGGCAACATGGTTATAACCCTAATGTTTGTTAGTGAGCTTATCATCCAAGAGTGTGTGAAGACAGTGTATACTCCAATTCCTAATATGCAACACCAGTCAATAATGTGCCAAATGACAGGAGCAGTTGAGTCACTAATATATGATATATAACTGTAAAAAGCTGATTCACAGAAGTTTAGTACAACACTAAATGGAATCATACTGAATATTTTCCCAGTTCCAGAGGCCTATGATCAGTTTCTCCTAATAGAGGAACAAGCAGACATCTCAGAATCTTCAGTTTTCTGGAAAGGCATTTAGTTAGATCACTGTTATACTCCCAAAAGCTAGGAATGAGAGCTTGGGCAACTTGAACAAGCGGAAAAACTGGAATCACTCTGTTCTTGGTGATGATACTTTATTTTCAGTACCATGAGAATTTTCTCCTTGCATGAGACTAAACACCCATCTATTTGATTGTATAACCAACTGATGGTGGTAATCAAATCCCAATGCTTGGTCCTGGTATCTGCTAATTTTGGCAATACAGAACTTTCACAGGTAGCTGGAGATATGCTTGTTAAGCTGGAAAGGGGAAGGGTTATGCTAGAACAAAGAAAAAGAAGTATCCATGCTGATGGCAAGAATCAGTCATCAATTGACCCAGGTTGTAATCAGGTATTGGAACAAAAGCCAGAATGAGAACACCCTACAGTATGCCAATGTTCAGTATCCTAAATACTTACTTTTGTTTTACCTAAATGTTTCTATTTTAATATAACCTGTTACAGGTTTCTCAGAAGAACACACTGAAAAAAAGGGAATGCCATATTTCACAATATGATTACCTTGATCACACTTTCTCCAGGCCTCATGTCTGTGTAAATCTTGACATTATATGATATGTTGGAGAAGGCTGGAGAGTTATCATTTGCATCAATCACAACAATATTGACTGTAACTGGCAGACTTTCTTGCACACCATCAGAAGCTGTCATCTTTAACAAAATAAGAAAACATGAGGAAATCTTCTAGAAAAGTACAGTCAAATAACCATTCCAGTGCAAATAAAATGGAGGTTGATTTTTATTTTTACTTATGTATTGTTGTTGTCACAAAAACAAACAAACAAAACAAGAAAGAGCTTTAGGAACTCATTCACCTAACAAGCTTAGTCTACTAGTTAGTAATGCCTTTAAAGTCCTCTCACTAAACATTTTACATATAAATTGCATCCAAGAAAATACTGAGAAAACACTTAGTGGTGAGCCAATTTCTTTTTGGTTATTCTTTGGATGTCTTCAAATATTATTGGTTGGATCTCTAGTAAACGTTAACCACGACTCAGTTTAAGTCCCATTAACGTTAATGGGAACTAAGTTCAGTGAGTGTAATCTGGTTCCAATCGAATGTGTTTAGGTATGCAAATAAAAGTTCAACAGGTGGTGGGTACCCTTTTTCACATTTTTTAAAACTTTGTAATCTGTTTGGAGCACTTTTTATAGAGTGGATTACATAAATCAATGTGTAAGCAGCATATCATTACCTTTCCCAGAGGAACAAGTATAGCTACAGGTCTCTGTCTGCAAATACTCTGTTGCAAACCTGATTTGCCCTGTATAATAGGCAAAATAGCCCATGGTATTTTGATGCTCTAAACCAGGGGTCTCAAACTCAACTTACCTGGGGGCTGCTGGAATAGAGCCTGGGTGAGGCTGGGCCGCATCAAGTATTCCACCACCGTGGTGGTGGTGGGCCGCTCATCCGGAGGCCGGCCCGGGCACCGCCGGTGCTTTGAAGGCTGCAGGGCCCCTCCCCTGTGCCCCATCCGTCCCGGCAATTGGCCTGTGGGTCGCGAGTTTGAGACCCCTGCTCTAAACTGTTGCTTGCAGGCCAATATCCCTAATGCAGTAGCAACAATACGTTTTTAATCTTGCTAACTGCTTTCAATATCAGCAAGAACCAACCAGGGAAGTCTACAGAATGATGACTGCACATCTCACAGAAGACGTAAAGTCTGACAACCACCTCAAACAAGATGATGATAGCTTGTGTTCAGACATGAGGCTTCATCTACTCTGTTAACAAGGAATACAATAAAGATGGCCAGCAGTATGGAACATGTCATATCAGGAGACATTGAAGGACCTTGGTATGTTTAAACTGGAGGAGAAAGTATAAAGAGAGAACATGATAGAACTCTGAAGGGCTACCATGAGGGATATCTGAATGACTCCATTAGAGTACAACAACTTGATCTCTAATTCCCCAAAGGGCAGGGTTAAATCTAATGGGTTTAAATTACATAATGACAGATTTGGCAGAACACTGGGATAAACTTCTTAAGGGTAAGAACACTTTGGCAATAGAACAGTTGATCCAGGAAAGTGGGCTCTCTCTCATTGGGAGTCCTCAGGCAGCTATTTACTGGACAGCTATCTACTGGTTATGCTCCAACACTGGTTTTCTAGCATGGAGCATGGAGTTGAACTTGATGGTCTACAAGGAAGGTCTACAAGGTCCCTTCCATTTCGGTGCATATCAAACAATAGCAGAGTTGGAAGGGGCCATGAAGGCCATTGAGTCCAACCTCCTGCTGTTGCAGGACATCACATTACACCACCCCATTCAGATGGCTGTCCAGTTTCTTTATGAATGTGTCTAGTGTGGGAGAGCCCACCACCTCTCCAGGCAGCTGGTTCCACTGTCGTATTGCTCTGACAGTGAGGAAGCTTTTCCTGATGTCCAGCCTGAATCTGGGTTGTCACAACTTGATATATAAACTGCCTTTCTTAACATCTCTCCTGATTCTAAATCTCAACAAATATAATATTTGTCAGTCCATCAGCCATTACACAGTTGCCCACCTGCCCCACCCCCACAGCCCCTTTGCTTACCGAAAAGGTGTACAACTGCTGGAGCTCCCTATCAACAGGCTGAAGTAAAGTGAGGTAGCGAGTTATGCCAGTCTGAGTCACAGTGAAAAACGTATTGTAGTCATTTAGAAAAAGATGGAGAAGGGGGTCCTTTGTCTTCAAGAGAAATGGAGAGAATGGTTATTATGTTCTCAAGAGAATAGCAACAATATAAACAAAAGGTCTTTTAATGATAGTGCTAAATAAATGGGCTGGTAGTGGAATTAGGGAGGTAATGCAATTTAGCTATATTGTTGGAATTGCAACCTCTTCTTGAATTGGAGATATGTGCCAGGGAGGCCGGCATACTCACTTCACAATTTTCCTTTTATATGCAAACACTATAAAAAAGACCCTTATCCCCTCCCCCACTCCCACCCCATAACTCAAACTCTGACCATAATCCTCATTTGGCAATTTGGTATTTTAGCAATTATTTGAGTAACAAACTTAAGAAACAACAGAAGGGTAAAGGCTCCACACACCTGCCATATAAACAAAACCCATAGCAAAATAATTATACTGTTCACTGATAACATAGTTGCTACAAAGAACAGTTCTTACAATGTGGCTTTTTAAACACACCAGTGCAAAGAAGATAATTTATGATTCAAAACCTAGGCTTCCACTGAAAGTCTTGAGAAAGCTGCTGGTATGCTGAACGTAATAGGGAAGCACAAAAGGTTTGACATGTTGGCAATTGGTGTGGGGCTGATGCTTGTGCTGCATAAAACAAAGGATGTCACCATCTCCTTTTGTTGCCAGGAAGCGACCCATTCCCCAAACTGGAAAGGGAAGGATATTTTGCCCATATTACTAGGACACAGATATATAGATATATATATCGTATTAGAATGATGGACAACTTTATATGAAGGAACTCTGCAATTTAATTTGCATGGATTTCTAATGTATGAACAATAGTTAAATAACTGTTTTAAAGGAAATTTCCTGAAAGAAAATTTCCAAAATAACACGCCCCCAAACTATGGTAAGGTAGTGGATTTTTGCTTAAGAAAATGTATGTTCCAGACCTTCTCCTTTGCTCTATTCACTCAAGTTTTGGGAGCAGTGGACACTTTATCTTCCTGAATAAATAAAGCAACTGCTTACACATGGACAAGAGAGGACCTTATTCCCTAAGGGTGCCTCAGTAGCATTCAATCTACTACTTTAATGAGCTACTGCTTCTGGATATTTTTGAGGGATTCAGATTAGCTCCTTCAGGTGCTTTCTTTTTCTTTTTATATGTCCCAATACACAGCCACAAGGGTGTGTTTTAGCACAGCAAAACTGCAAAAATGCACCAGTGCTGCAATCTTGAATCTTCCCTCTGTCCTCCAGGGTATTAGCTATCCCAGCCAGTTTGGTAGTATCTACAAATCTGATAGTCATTCTCTGCACTTCGTCATCCAAATCATTCATAGAAATATTGAAAAGTGCTGGGTCCAGGACCAAACCCTGCTGTACCTCACCTCTCCCCAGTTTGAAAAGATGCCATTGATGAGCACTGTTTGGGTCCAATTGTGTAGCCAACTGAGGATCCACCCAATCATTATTTCATCTAGCTATTTTCAGTATTCAATCAAGCATTTTTGCTATTTTGTTAATAGGGCACTTTGTCAAAAGCTTTGCTGAAGTCAAGATAGATTATGACCAGAGGATTCCTACAGTCCATAACAGAGATTAATCCAATGAAAAAATGAAAGCAGATTAGTATGGCAGGATTTGTTCTTGAGGAATTCACGTTGGCTTCTAGTAATCACTGCAGTGCTTTCAAGTGCTTGCAGATTGACTGTTGTATAATATGCTCCAGAATTCTCCCAGGAATTGATGTCAGACAGACTGGTCTATAGTCCCTAGATTCTTTCCTCCCCACTTTCTTGAAAATAGGGAGAACATAAGCCTTTCTCCTGTCATCTGACACTTACCCTGTCCTCCATGATTTATCACAGATAATAGACAGTGGTTCTGAGAGTTCATCCATCAGCTCCTTTATGAATCTAGGATGGAGTCCATCCCTGCAGCTTTGCACTCACTCAGTCCAATGAAATGACCCTTGCCTATCATGGACCATTTGCCTATCAATCTTGAACTGCCATCTTGCTCCATCAGCTTGTGCTCCATTTTCATCAGGAAGTTCAGGGATCTTTGGGGAGAAGACTAAGCCAAAGTAGGAATCGAGCACTTCTGCCCTTTCTTCGTCATCTGTTATCATTTTGCCACCTACATTGAGTAGATGAACTCCCATTTCTTTCTTCTATCTTTTACTTTGGACATATCTGAAGAAGGCTTTTGTTGTTGCTTTTAGTGACCCTCACTAGCCTCAGTTCACTCCCATCTTTAGCCTTCCTTAGGTCATCCCTGTAATTCTGTGCTACCTGCCTGTATTCTTCCTTGGTAGCTGGGACACCCTTCCAGTTTCTATACATGTCCTTTTTGTTGTCAGATAATCTCTAAGCCTTTTGTGAGCCACATGAGCTTCTTCAGTCGTCTTCTACATTTTTCCCTGTTGGAATTGTTTGTAAATGTTGTCTTAGAATTTTCTTCTTTTAAAAAATCCCCATCCATCCTGGACTCCTTTTCTCATGAGAGTCACTTGCCATGGGACTTATCATTGTTCTGAGTTTATTATAATTGGCTTTCCTAAATCCCAGGGTACATGTTTTACTAGATTTGGCTTTTGCTTCCTTTAGAATCAAGAATTCAAGTTATGACATGGCTACTTTCCCCCAGAGTTCCTGTGCTGCCACTTTGTTCCCTGTAGGTTAGTATCAAGTCAAGAATAGCTGTTCCTCTTCTTCCTTTCTCCACTTTCTGTTGGAGGAAGTTCTCAGCAGCACATGTTAGGAATTTCTTGGAGGGGCCACCTTTGGTCTATTTGCAATGCTATTATGAAGCATGTTATGGTAATAAAAAGCCACCAGTTGCCTGTGTAGCAAGTCAGCTGGGTAAACCTATAAAGGACTGATTGTTCACAAGCACGTTTCAAATAAAAAGCCATAGCATCAGGACTTCCTCTTTCCAAATGAGTTAATCTTTTTTCCCCCATGCAAGTAATAACCTTTATTTTCTAAGCCATTTTTGCAATATGTTGCATAACATTTTCACACTCAAAGTAATATTCTTTCTCTTAGTCACTAATTCAGAAGCATGCAGATCCAGAGATATTCCAAAGAAGGTCACACATGCTCCAACAGGCATTTGAGCACCACTGCAACAGCTCGAAAGAAAAATGGCAAACCAAGGAAAGGAGACTGAGGCTATTTTTCACACATGATGCATTGGGAATTTTTTATTGGCTCTCTTCTGTATTCAGCTATCTGTCAATGGAGCCAAGGAAAGCACTGCTATGAGCATGTTAAACAGGCACGTTATATGTGAAAACAGCCCAAGAGAAAAGTGTGGTGGTTTTGAATGTGACACAGAAAGGCAGCATAAGTGGGTCATGCTTCCTTTTCTGTACTTAGGCTGGCACATGGAAGAATGCACAGGGAAATATAAAATAGAAGGTTCACTCAGGCTTCCTCTACATTTTCACTAAGTGAGAGGAAAGGTGGGTGGGGGGGGGTGAACAGCAGAATTCTGTGCATGACTACTAAGACAGATGTCTTCCTATGTCAAATGGGGCTTGCTTGCTAGTAAGTACATTAAGACTACAGCCTAAATGTAGTCATTTTTGTAGTCACAGCATAGGGAAATGAGATATGGAAGGTGGAGAACGTTCCTTAATTGTGAAAATGAACTTACATAACATTCTAAAACCCGTTTACCATGTGCTTTTCAACAGGAGCTTTTTAAAATGTGCAACAGCAAATCTGTGATTTGTTGTAATGTAAATTAGTAGGCAATAGTTTTGTATTTTATTCAAAACTAGGTTTTTGGAAAAAAGCTGTTCACACGTTTACACACACTGGCTCACATTTTTTGAGATGTAGTCTTTTGGAAAAATAGGAAAAAGGAACACTGAAGGAATAAAAGCCAATAAAACATGGTGAACACTAAAGATACCTACAGGAATGGCACTTGGTAGGATCTAAAAAGCAAAAGAAAACAAATACAAAACAAAGTAAGAAGAAGCAGTACATCTATATAATTCCTGGAGCCAGCAGAATAACACTTATAAAAGGAAGGGACCATTGAGCTTTCAGGATATTCTGTTTTTTCTTTTTAAAGATTATGAGCTTGAATCTAACACTAACACCAGTCCCTGCACTTCTGTTAGCACATTTCCATTATAATCACAATTGCTATCTCTGTGGATGGAAAGAAAGCTCATGTGAATCCTCTTTTTTGGTACAAAACTGCTCACTTCATTTCATCATTTACATGAGTTGTAATTTGCAGGGAAAAAAGCTGGGCAAAGTTTCTGCATAGGCTCCCAAAAAAGCTAAGAGGGCAGTAGGAAGGAAGTACTTTTACTTCTGGAACTTTGAGGAAGTCTCCCATAGCTTGTCCACTCTTAGAATGGTGGTGTGGTCAGTCACAAAATGCTCATTTTCCAAAAGCCAAACAGGTGAGGATAAAATAAAAGTAACCTGCCCTAGAATTTAAGCATCAGGCAGAGATGAGATCTGATCTCCCAAACACAAAGACAATCTTTTGAATCAGGATTAAAATTGTGCTGGAAGGTAACATTTTATTTGTGGCAAGTCAGCCTCCCAGTTTAAAAACAACAACAAAATAATCAAAATACTAAGAAATTGAATAAATATCAGGAGAAGGAGGGAGTCCAGTGGGTACCAAGAGAAGTATTTATAGTGCTCTGGCACCACATGGGAGATCTCAGAAATAGAAGGGAAAAGAGGACCATTTTTTAAGTATGCTATATTATACTAGCATGTAGTATAACCACGTATGCTGTATACATGGTTTCATGTCACTCCAGCTTATAGAAATCCACAAAAACAACAATTTGGACTGCACAAATTGGACACCGTTTTAATTCTGATGTGTATACATGAACACAATACTACATGAATAAGATGTTCTTTACATCAAACATCAACAGTTACAAATTGTTACAGCTGTGTATTGCTAAAAATCCAAAATTTAGACCTGGAGTCTTCACAAGAGCCAGGATTAGGGTTTATAAAGGCTCAGAATCTGTTTGGATTGTGTTCTTTTTCTTTTCCATGCAACAACTCATTTGAAGCTGCTTTTAAAACATATTTATCCCTAATTAAATTGCAATAAAATCTAAGCATAATCATTTCCTTTTTTGACAAATCCGAAAATGTATTAGACTTCATTGCAACCTGTGTTTTAATATAAGAACTTACTGACTGATATTATATACATTTTCATACTTGTGCCTTTAGTATTTTAGTCCATGCTAACCAACCAGATTGAAAGAAGGTTCAAGAGGTCAGCAAGCATTGCTTTTCACTGCTAAGACAGGTCAATCAAGTATGATAGAGCGGATCCTGAGAACAGCAGGGCAAGTAGAATAGGTGATTGAAGGAAAATTAGAAGGAGCAGCATTTAAATAAACTACATAAAATAATTGATTGAAAATAAATGGGGAATTTGTATGTTGCCCAGAAAAGGCTTGAAGAAGACAGAAGAGTGGAAATGTGTTGGAGGCCAATCTGTGGCTTCTAACCTGAGAAGAGCAGTTTTTCTCTTGACTACATTATAAGCTGCACATCTTTTCACTTAACTCTTAGAAGTGCAAGCATCTTATTTGTGTGTAGTCATTCTGGTCTATGCTGTGATACAGCGAGGGAGTTAAAACATGGGATTGCTTGAATTCACCCACAGCTCCACCTTTTAACATTTTCACTTTCAAAGAGAATTGATCTTTGGGGTCACTGACTTCTTGGCCTGCCTTCCGCACAACATAAGCTATTTTATTTCCTTTTAAATGGCAAACACATATCTCCGGACTACAATGGGATTCCCAAATATCCTTTGACATCCAATGGTTCATCAGCCTGATCATTAAACTTTTGTTCCTTATTTCTGCCTAAATTTGTCTAGTGGCCTGAACTAATCACAATAAACCCATTTTCAGAGTTACATTGTTTCTTTTCTAGCCTAGACTCAAATCACTTCAGTTGCAGCAGCTGCTTGTGAAAATACGTCACTGTTCTAGAAAAAAAAATCCTGGACACAAGAGATTAGTTGGAAAAAGTCTTACTGTGAAGTTGAGGTGGGAGGACAAGTTGTTGAGGCTTGTTTCTGAACATTCTGAAATCTAGTCTTATTCCATTCTTGTTTGTGTTACATGCAGCAATGTCATGTTGCAATCAATTTTTATATATTCGTAAAATTACCTAGTGATTGTAGTCAGATATGGCATTTTACAGAGCATACCAGTTTTTTAAGAAAGCAAATCAATACAGACCTCTTCGACATCGTTATCCAAAGCTATGATTTGCAATGGAGATGTCAAGTTCTTGTTATCTGAGATAGTGGTACCCACAGGTGAGGACTCCAAAATAAAGCCATCATATGTTGATTCTGTGAAGTAAGGTTTCTGGTTGTTTTCATCTAGAACTTCAATATGTAGATTGGCAAATGCTGGAAGAGGATGGCCATTGTCTTGTTCTGCCTACAAAAACAAAGAACATACGTTGGACACGAATAAGACATGCTGTATTTCCAGAGATACTGGCAATCTACGGGTCCTCACTCTACATGCATTCTGCCTCCACTAATGATGAGCATTTTAGCTTATTTGTGTGGACACACAAACACACACACACAGAGGCATGCTCAGGGCAAAGCTAGGTGCTTCAAGGGCTCGTTGATTACAACCAGAGGGGAGTTAGATACACTTTGTCTTAGCCAAAAGACTGAGAAGTGGTTAGACACTTTTTTAACTTGCCCGGTTTATCAGTGGAGCATACAATGCTTAAATTACCTCTGGATCATGCCCCACATTTTTTTGCAAAATCTAAAAGCTAGTAAGTCTACAGTGAGTCATCTTTAGGCTCAGTGAAGCTTTGTATGGAATCTTAATATGAATCCTTAGGTTTGATGAAACTTAGTTCTGCATAAACACACACAGGATCAGGTTATAAAAGGAACTGGCCCTATGGAAGTACCCTACTCATAGCTTGGGAAAGCGCATAAAGATGTATTCTCTTATCTAATGCAAGGGTAGATGGTTCCAGACCATTAATGATAAGTTTAAGAGCTTCAGATTGGCTGATTCTTTGCCCTTGCATAAAAATGAGAGGAAGCATTGATTTCACTCAGTGTGAGCAGTGGACACTTTTCACTCAGTGTGAGCAGTCCTCAGGAATTTCTTTTTCCATCAGAGAGCTGAAAATTATAGAAAAATGTCATTTTTGTATCCATAAAATCTATCATATCCTGTTTTATTTTGAACCTGTAATGATCTACAGGAGCTGCTGGACCTCCTTTTCCAGGTCCGTTCTGGAAATAATTTGGAAAAGCTGGGATATGTTGATAAATGCCCTCAGGCATCTGAAAATAATCAAACATCTGGATTGAATCACAGTTGCAAATCCACACTGCTGGCTGAGTCATCTCTGTTAGCATCTTCTGTGAAGTGTTTATGCTACTGCAACACTCAACACTCAAGGAAGCTTGAACCGCAGGAATTTCCCAGGATTACTAGCAGTTCTGGGCACTTCAACAACATGCTCATGGCAGCATCAAGGCCTAGTGGAGATCCGAATGCCACACCTTGCGTGAGCCTTTATCCGAGCTGCCTCACTGTGTCACATTAAGAAATGGAGGCTGGAAGCAGTGAGGACATGGCAGAAAGGGCCAGCAGAAGCACATACAATTAAGACTGTTCCCAGAATCTTGGTCTAGTTCTGATGGGATCTTGAGGCTGGTGTTCTGTTTTGAATTTTACCCCACCACTATAAATCTCAGCACCACCCATCAAGATAATCAATGTATCTTTGGAGAATTAAGAGAAAATACTGACTACATCACTGCAGCACATTGTATATTATGTAATAAATAATCCTTTCTTTTGATGGATAACTCTTAATTCTAAGTATCAAAGCTCTGTTCAGTTAACCCCCGCTGTATAGGAAATAGTTAGAATACTCCAAAAGAGTATGTTTGAGCTTTCGTCACCCTTTTTACATGTCTGCACTGCAGGTGGTAAGATCAGTCAGCTTTTCAAATTCCCATTTCAGTGAGCAACATACTTAGGGTCAAAGGAATGTATTGATTGTACACAGTTCCTCAGCTAATACAGATCATTCAACCTGAAATAATCAGTGAGATTGAACTGTCAGTTTCCTTAAGATTATATTTGTGTGATATTTTAGATTTTTGTGATAGTGGTATTTTTTGATTTTTTCCTTCATAAATGGAGTGTTGATTTAAACACCTCCCTTTCTTTGTGGCATAGCAGGAGCAGTTTATCTGAACCCAATGCCACTGACTGACTTTTCACAGATATAGTTCTAAGCCACATTTTCTGGTAACCATGATTTGTTGTTTTTAGCCATGAATTTTCTTACAGATGAACAAACAAAGAGCAGCCGGTTTCCTTATTTTTGATTTTCCACTCATCCATTTTTTCCAAAACTTCATTCTGATTTTCAGGCTCTTGCTGGCTGCTTCTGTTTCAGGGCAAACAAGCCAGGATCAGAGCTCTGTCTTGAATTCAAAGATCACAGCAAGCCATGATTTCAACATGCCAGACTTTATAAACCAAGAACAAACTACATATTCTATGCGTGTTTTACAGCTGCTTAACAACCCATAGTTTGTTTGCAGGGATGGGTTCAGATACAATGACAAATCAGATTCCAACAAACCACTAAATGGTGTGGCATTATATCAACTGGACATTGATATAATCATGTTTTCCTTCCACATGGAATATTAATAGCAATAGGGGGTTTATGTTTTTGCAAAGGCTCAAGTCTTTTCAGTTAAGAGATATGAAAGTTAGGGAAATGTATATTGCTGTAGGTATATCTGCTTTTAGTGACTGATGAAAGAACAAAATGAGCTATTTATTGCTTTGTCTGTCTTCAAAGCCAAAAGCCAGTGATCATTTCATCCATTCAGGGCAACCTATCATATCCTTTTTGACTGCCACACACACACACACACTCACTCACTCATTCACTCATTGAAGAAAAGCATACACAGGAAAAACAAAAAATTGCCATTGCTTCTGATTCAGTTTCACAATCTAGTCTTTACAGAGAAACTGTAGATCTATTTTCCATGCAGGTATGTAACATTATATTTAGATGTTTAAATCTGGAGATGAGTGGGTAATATTATGAGCAACGAATGTACAACATGAGCAAAATGTACGAAATAAGCACAAGAGACTGATAAGGCAATTCAGAATGAGGTAGATACATCTGTACATGTCCCTTTTCTCCAGCATTTTGAACACCATAACAAGTGATTGTAACAGAGAGAATTTGTATTCCACCAACACAATATGAACCATTGTCAAAGAATGTCACACACAAATAGTGCAGAGATTGTGCATCTTCTAGAGGAAGGGGGAAAGAAGAGGTGGGGTATCCATTTCTAACAAGAAAACAATAGGAGACAAGGATTAACCCATATGCCTGCACGCATCATGGTTCTGGGGGTCCTTCAAAGCTGTTTTTCTGTAAACACAGAGAGGTGGCCAGACGGAACACAGTTTTGCATCATAGCTTAAAGTCAAATCAACTTTGACCCTGTCTTAAGCAAGTTAGATACACTTTAAATGCTTTCACATGTAAAAGGTAAACAACTGCATTTGCCTCAGGCACTTGCTGATATTTAAAATACTGGGAAAAGGCAGAATGAACTGATAGAGCTTCATCATTCTGAAACGCTTTCCTCATATCTATTGCATATTCTGTCCCTTTGAATTCCCAAGAAATTCAAGCCACCAAATGAGAAGCTGCACATGCATACCGATTCCTTCACATTTTCTCCATAAACTTTGCAGCTGGTTTAATAGCATATTAGTTTGGGAACTTACAGCCATCACTATGTTGAGCTTAACCCATTATGCAGGCCTGAGAAGAGAATGGCACTTCTCTCTCCACTTCACACAGCATTAAAGGGGCAGGTTATGTACTGTCATTCCAGGAAGGGCTCTTAACCCTTTGGTCGTTATTTGCAGATCATGGCTGGCAGAATAGCTCCACATTTCTGCTTCATAAAAGAGCTGAGCTCTTTGCTTCAGGGGTTGTGAGTACAGGGAGAGAACAGGCACCTCTTCAGATGCACTGACAAGTCCGACTTCCATTGCTTGAAAACATTCTGCTCATTTCTGACCTTTTAGCTAATTGATATTTAAAACACCCAAGAAATCCCCAGTTTGATCATGTAGGCCACAAAAGTGAGTGTGGGAGAAGTAGGGCAGGGAGAGTTAGAGCAGTAACTGTTCACAGTTACAGAACAGCTTTTTACACCTAACACCTCAGAACACTTGGGAGACTGGCACACACCAAGTCAGCAAACAATGCATAACAAAAGATCCATTTTCTTGCCCAGTTTTGTGAAGGGAAAAACCGATTCTTCTACAAATCAGAAGTTATATAATTATTAAGAAACTGAATATAAACAGGGCCAATGGTACCCCTGCCCGATGACTCTTGAGGCTGGGATGGAAGACAATTACTGCCCTTCGGACTTGACCTTGATGGAAATGAAAAGAATAGAGTGTTTTGATAGGGAAGTACTAAGATGGAGGAGGAGATGTAAGCTGCCTTGAGCCCTTTGTAGGAAAAAGGCAGGATATAAATCAAAAAATAATAAATAAATAAATAAAAGTACTATATAATGTTGAATGAGCTTATAGTAGTCTGTCAATTCTAATAAGAGGAAATGCTAATAGATGGGTAAAGGGAAAGCTACACATTAAAACTTTTCTTGTTTAAAATAACTAGTTGCATAACTAAGGCAAAAAATGGAGCAACTGTCTATAATTGACCTTTGTTCTCCAGACTCAGTCAAGAGGATAAGAAAACTATCATGTTAATTTGTTCCAAATGCACTAACAAGGGTTCTCAGTGCCTATTTTCTTACAGACAAGGGCCAGGATGCTGGTTTCTTACCTATTTAGTATCAAACCCGCAAACAGGGATGACCACTTTCCAGTTGACTGAGAGCATTTATTTATTTCAAGTTTTTATAGACCATCAGAATAGCCACATGGGTCCATGGATAGTTTATAGCAATTTAAAATACAATGAAGCAAAACTTTAAAATCCTTAGACATTATAAACAAATTCAGTGTATAAAGCCATCAGTTCCATCAGCAAGGACACTAACCATGTGGACTTCATACAGTGGTCACCTTGGATACATTTTGTATTTCGCGATACCAATTGCAATTTTAAAATTCGTAAGTTAAAATACTAACTTAAAATTAGAAACAAGAATTAAAGCTGCCAACAATTAAAATGCTCCAAAAGTAAAAAAGACTTTGTCTGGCACTGAAACCGCTTGTGCATCAAACTTACAGGCTGATGTCTGTGCTCGGCAACCCTGTAAGCCTGCACGATGAGGCATCTAAACCCTGGCATTTCTGCAGATATCCTGATGTTGGCTGATTTAATTCTTTTCTTTTTGAAGGAAATGTCACCAGCTCAT